AAAACCTTTCAGTCAGACGCAGCTGAATAAACAATAAAAATAGGTTAAGGGTCTAATCCAGGAGAGTCAAACTCAAATTCACAGAGGCCAAAATTAAAAACTGGGACTAAGTCGAGGCCAAATTAAATACTTATTGAAAAATTTCAAAAGTGTTTGCGTGTTTTCTCTTCTTTCGAGATATGTAATGTTAAACCTTTTCTTATGCAGCTGTAAAACAGAGTTTGACATGTCTGGTCTAAAACATCACACTCCCAAGTTTGTTTTTCACCAGGTGCCATCTTTGATTAAACACATCCATTTTCATTTGTAAAGATGCAGTCATTCTTTCCATCCAGTACACTTGTTTATTTTTCCACTCAAATTACATTTTAAATGAAGTACTTATTTATTTTTTAACTTTTACTCGAGTAGATTTTTAGATGGTTACTTTTACTTTTGCTTGAGTAGGAATTAAGCTAAGCAAAGATACTTTGACTTAATTACAATTTTTCAGTGTTTTTTCCAGCTCTGGTCACAGTTTTAAAGTTCTTTTTGGTTTGTTTGGGGATCGGGATTTGAGGAGGGAGCGAGGGGCGGGGCCAGTCTGCACGAGGACCACACTTGTGATGAAACTGCCACGTAGGAACTTTAAGCAAACTTTTCTTTCTGTCCGTGTGTGCGTAAAGTGCGCGCTCTGCTCCTCGCTCCGTGCCATGCTGCTGCTCCGGTTCTGTTCCCGGTTCTGCTCCCGGGCTGTGCTGGCTCTCCTCCCCGGGCCGCTGCTCGTTGGCGGGGACGCGGTGCCGGACGAGCCCGAGGACGTGACGATAGAAATCCTGCACAGACCGTTCATCTGTCACCGTAAAACCAAGTTCGGAGATTTGCTTCTGGTGCATCAGGAAGGATATTTCCAGAACGGAACCATGTTTCACTCCAGGTACTGTCCGCTTTTCTCAGGCTTTTCTCGGTTTGTGGAAGTTCGGTCCACACTGGCTCCTTTTACGCACAGCAGAAGTGGGACCAAGTCTTTGTTTTGCAAGTTTCAAGTCTTTGAACTCAAGTCTCAAGTCAAATACAGACAAGTCCAAGTCGAGTCTCGAGTCACTGGCCCATAAGTCTAAGTCATCTGCTTTGAGCTTCAAGTCATTTCAAGTCTTTAAACCAGAAAAATACCAAAAAGATCTTAGATTTTTTACAATTTATATAAATTTTATACTAATCATGATCATGAGAACTAAGACTTAAAAGTGCTTAGAACTATAATTTCAATATCGGGTATCGTTTAGAAGTTGCCAATACGATACAAACCTCGATACAGTGAGCTTCTGATTCAATACGATATGATTCGAATCTGATACGGTTCAATGAAAAATAAAGGCTAAATCATGGCTGTTTGTCTTAGTTAAATCACTTCTTATCCAAAGTTCATATGAACAACAAACATTTTAATCCTCAAAACAGTGAAAATGTCAAAGTTGTCACATAAACGATCCACACTGAACCAGAGGTTCCTTTAATCCTTCCTGTAAACCAGGAGAGTCAAACTCAAATTCACAGAGGACAAAATTAAAAACTGGGACTAAGCTGTGGGCCAAACTATATATTTATTGAAAAATTTCATCAACATCTGCATGTTTTCTCTTCTTTCGAGATATGTAATGTTAAAACTTTTCTTATTAAAATAAACATTTAATAATTTTTTATTTATATAAAAATATCCCAAAATAAACTTTGCTAAGCATCGTTTCAACTTGATTATGAGTCTGGAGATTGTTTGACACACAAATCCAAATCATGATCAAAATTGAATTAATTGCACAGCCTTAATAACAGCAGCAGATCTTGGACTGAACGGTTCCTCGTGTGTTTCCAGTCGTATCCATGGAAACAAGCAGCCGGGATGGTTCACGTTGGGGATCCGGGAGGCCATCCGAGGGTTTGACCGAGGCCTGAAGGACATGTGTGCTGGAGAGAAGAGGAGGCTCGTCATCCCCCCGGCGCTCGCCTACGGGAAAGAGGGCAAAGGTAACACACTGTAGTCTAGTCTGTTCTTCTGTGTTCTTGTTTCTATTCTCGTGTTTATTCCTGTGTCTGTTCCTGTGTATGTTCTCATGTCTGTTCTTCTGTGTTCTCATCTGTTCTCGTCTATTCTTCTGTCTGTTCTGTGTTTTCGTCTCTGTTCTCGTCTCTGTTCTTGTCTCTTTTCTCGTGTCTGTTCTCATGTCTGTTCTTCTGTCTGTTCTGTGTTTTCGTCTCTGTTCTCGTCTGTCCTCATGTTTGTTCTTCTGTGTTCTTGTCTCTGTTCTCGTGTCTGATCTTGTCTCTGTTCTCATGTCTGTTCTTGTCTCTGTTCTTGCGTCTCTTCTTGCATCTGGTCTTGCCTCTGTTCTCGTCTGTGATTTTGTGTCTGTTCTCGTGTCTGATTTTGTGTCTGTTCTTGTGTCTTTTCTCATCTCTGTTCTCGTGTCTGTGTTCTCGTCTGTGTTGTCATGTGTGTTGTCATGTGTGTTGTCATGTGTGTTGTCATCTGTGTTGTCATCTGTGTTGTCATCTGTGTTCTGTTTGTAACCCAGGTGATAAACCCTGCAAAACGTCTCTCTCTCTCTCTGCATCTGCGCCTGTGTCTGTCTCCTACTATGGGAACTTAACACTCGGTGGTGTGTCTCGCGGATCTCCGCGTCACAAAATCACGTGGGTCCGCTAGACCAACCATCGTAACGCTCTTAGTGACGTCATACGGTCACGTGACGCTGCGTGCCAATCGCGTGAGCTTATGATGCCGCTGTGATTCAGTGTGAGTTAGGTGCTGTTTGAACCCGGATGAGTCGAGCTGCAGGTCAGTTTCTGTGTAATCTTCGTGTTTTAACCTCATAATTTCGTCTGACAATCAATGAACTATATTGTGCCTTCATAGGAGCCTTCTACCGAGTCCCAAAACCGCGTTAAAGATCTTATATGCTTATATGAACGGCGTAGTCCGCGGAAACTGGTGAGTTTGTTTGTGATGCTAACGCTAGCTTAGCCGCGCCCATTCATTCCTATGGTCGTGGTTAGCATTCTTATTTGCCAAACATTATGCCTGTTTCTGTCAAATACAACTTAAAAAATGAAACTATTTGAAAGCCTACTGTCTAAAGCTTATAATGAATGAGACCACATTTGTTTATTTACTTGAGTCATACATTTTTAAGTGTCTTTGCTAACAGTGTTACCTAATCATGATTGCAGCTACCTGAGCACTTAAGCTAAGCACTTTCTGACTTAAATAGCTTTGTAAAAGCATATTTATATTATTGAATGACATTATTAATATTCATACTGACTATGAATACAATTGAATATGTTGTATTATTTTCCTATTGTCTGAATTATCAGTGAACTGTTAATAATACAGTTGGTGCTATTTAACTTGTTTTGTGTGCACACTGAAATTATTATTAGCTTTACTGTTAAAGTAACAACTAATTGATTTAAAACTTGGTCCTATTGCTCAGGCCAGATTTCTAACCCCCCTGATGGCGAGCTGAAAGGAGCAGGCCTCAAGCCTACAGAGCCTACCAAACCTATCGAACCTAATGAACTACTGCTACTACTACTACCCACAAAAACTCTCCCAACACACCCACACGCCCATTGTCACACATTCAATTCACGAACTTTTATGCACTTTACCTCCCCTCTGGACATCTGGACAAATCCGGTAGGTTCCAATGAACTGTGTGTGAGCTGGGTTCAAGATTTTTGTGTTCATGATTGCACTCACCATTGATGGACTCTCGATATACTCTATGCAATCAAATACTGCACCTATCATTGTTGGACTCTCGATATATATTTTTTGCATCCAATAACCTATTGTGCAGCTACTGAACTGTTTATTGAACTGTGTAAATAATTGAATGGCCGTTCATTCCGCTCTGTCTATGTTTAAATGTTGTATGTCAAATCACTACTTACTTATTCACTGTTTACTGTTTCTTTAATATATGCTACCAAACACTAAAAGCAACTCTCAGTCTCTTGTCACTCCCTCCTAGAGCTGATCACTAGTCTTCTGGTCACTAACCCATATTAACACTACTACCTTATTGCCCCTTTACTACTGTGTCCAGTTCTATATATACCATATCTACTGACACAGGTGTTACATAATCTTCTATGTTCTCGTCTCTGTTCTCGTGTCTGTTCTCAATCAATCAATCAAATTTTATTTGTATAGCACTTTTCATACATTTGAAATGTAGCAAAGTGCTTCACATGCAACAGAAAAATTACAATACAATAATTAAAAACAACAGCAACCCCCCCACCCCATCCCATTGTTTCATCCATATATACAACCATTTAAACAAAAACATAAAAACAAAAAACTCCTAAAGGTTATTATAAAAATCAAAATGGAGACAAAGTAAAACAGTAATGATAATTTAATTTAGAATAAATATAATAATAGTAATAATAATAATAATTTATTATTATTATTATTATTAAGTTAAAACAGATAAAAGTTTTAATTAAAAGCTAAATTAAAAAGATACATTTTGAGTTTACTTTTAAAAATATAAACACTCGCAGTGGACCTCAGATCCTCAGGTCGACTGTTCCACAAACGGGGGCCGTAAAAGCTGAATGACGCCTCACCGTGAGTTTTAGTTTGGACTCTTGGGACAGTTAAAAAAAAACTACCTGAGGATCTGAGAGTCCGAGAGGTTCATATGATAAAAGCAGATCAGATAAATATATAGGACTAAGACCATTAAGAGCTTTATAAAATAATAAAAGAACTTTAAAATCTATCCTGAAGCTCACAGGAGCCAGTGCAGAGACTTCAGTACTGGGGTGATGTCCTCTCGCTTCCTGGTCCTCGTCAGCAGTCGTGTCTGTTCTTGTCTCTGTTCTTGTGTCTGTTTTCGTCTCTGTTCTCGTCTCTGTTCTTCTGTGTCCTCTTGTCTGTCCTCATGTTCTTCTGTGTTCGTAGGTAAGATTCCTCCAAACAGCACATTGACCTTCGTCATCGAGGTTCAGGAGATCAGGAACGGTGTTCGCTCTCACGAGGCCTTCCAGGAGATGGACCTGAACGACGACTGGAGGCTCTCGCGTAAAGAGGTACCACGCTTCACCTGCACAGATGAGTTTGTAGATCTGTGCTCAGGAGGGAGGAGACGCTGTAACTTAAATTGCCAGAACATTTTACTCAGAAAATACTTCCAAAAAACATCTTATTTATTATTTCAAAGTTTTTTAAAGGTTCTACATTACACAAAACTGACTCCTGTGAGCTTTAAACATGTTCTAACGCTGTTTCCTCCTCAAAAACAGATCTGGAGTTGTGTTTTGTTTCATTCACACAAGTTTGAGTAACTCTTTATTATTACTCTATCTACATCTCCAAATCTGCAAAACGCTCTGGTCCACCTTGTGATGTCATGAAGTGGTAGTTTTCAAATTAACATCTTTTACTTTTTTAAGATTGGCATCTCCGGAGCTGAAATTATCCAAAGTATATACTAGATGTAGTCCTTTAAACAGCAACTAAACACCAAAATCATGTTTTTTCTCTTGATTCTCTGTGTAAATGTGTTTAAGATCGAAGTGTGTCTCTGTCCCTGGACTTATTTTGGCATTTTAGTGCAGATTTGTTATAAAAGAATGAGAACTTCGCACATGAGTTTCTTGAGACGGTGTGTTGGAGAAGAGGGAGGAGCCCAAGAAAACCGAGAAAAATCCCTCATTCAGTCTTACTGCAAAATGTGAAACTTATTAGGACAACGTCAGGCAAAAACCTGATGCCCGATGAAGGCCCAGTGCCGAAACATTGCACGGTTTGTCCTAATAAATTTCACATTTTGAAAGTAAGATGGTGTGTGGGATTTTTCTCTATATAGTGCATATTGTTTAACTTCTTGGGTTCTATTTAAAGACAATGCAGTAAAGTGTATTTACCTTGTTGACATGTTTCGGCTGCTGCATCTTCAGAACTGTCCTCAGTGTTGGTGGTGACGTGTCCATCTTTTACACACAAACGGCGAATTTGCCTTTGAAAATAAATCTTTCTAAAAATTCCAGCTGGAATGGAGACACTTTTCATGTGTTTCATTTTCACAGCTGATGTTTCATATTCATGACCAGAGACAAATGAAGCTTTAACAGATCTGTGGAGAGGCGAGCCGCTCACTAATACACGATTTTAAATGTATTTGTGAGTAAAATGTGGGTTTTTTCGGAAGGTTCCATGCGTGTCCTTAGAAAGAAGCACGAGAGAATCCGAGAGAACAAGCCACTTTATTTCGTCATTTTCCATTGAGAGGATTCAAGTTGATTACCAAGTACAACTGTCACCCCGGAACGACGCCTCAACTCCCCAACTCAAAATCAGGGGTAGCTTTATACTACATCTTGACAAAACATTAACTTGTTGAGTTAGCATATACAGCAAGAAAATGAACAATACTGCTGACCCAGTACACCTTATCATGGGTGGGACCATGCCACGGGGACCACATATGTCAGTTTTGCTGCTCCTTAGCACTCAAAGTCCAGAAAACATATTCTTTATGACACTCCAGTACAGAAATACATGTTATGTAGACCTACAGATAATCACACGTGTGTTTTTCCACCCTGCTGTCATTCTAAAGTCTATAATGTTAGGTGAATTAGCATGATCAGCACATAATTTCCCACAATTCCCCCTTTTGATTACATTAAACATGTAATCACCACCTAAAATAAGAGGAGGAAGATGCTACCTCCACCTAATAAATCCCCTATATGAACAAAATAAAATTTAAAAACATTTTTGTTAGCTTTAGCTCTTTTATAACATTTCCCAGATTCTTGTTAACACAATATACTTGAATAACATAGTACATAATCAATACATGACACTCGGACAGCGAAAATAAGAGACCAGGAGCACATACTCAGAAAGGTTTTATCTCTACTTAATCAATGGATAAATTTGTAGGGTTTCAATCAAACCCAATTATTGGAGTCAGAACGTGAGAGCTGAGAATCAGCAGAGAGTAACACAATTTGGGAGACGGGAGCATTTCGTGTTAAGGCAGTAGTAATCAATCGTTCTACTAGTGATCTGAGACATGGATAATGCAACATCAAATTACAAAGTATTTTCTTCAAAGTTTGTCCTTCGTAGCAAAATTTCACTATTTTTGGTGCTCCCCCTTTTACCCTTTTCTGTGCTCCTTGTGTCTTACTGTTTTTGTCGTCTGCCAACTCCATGTCGTGGCTTGTCATTTTGCTTGTTGGCTGTCCGAGGTCAGTAGTGGTTTCAAAGCTTCTATTGATAGGGACTATAACAAAACAAATAAAGCAAAAAGAAATTAGCATAATCAAAGATAGACATTGAAAATTTCTCATAAAGCATGGCCTGTACTCTCCTTTTAAATTATTTCCCCCTTTTCTTCCCCTCCTCTGCTGGAGCCCCAGTAGCGGACGGCGGTCGAGGTGCGTCTTCAGGTCCTCTGCATTCAGCGACATCTGGATCCAATTGATCTTCTCCATCTTCATCCTCCAAGATCCAGGGGAGATGAGTTCATCTGAATTGGTTCTTTCTTCTTCTCCTTTAATTCAGCTTGATATTCTTGTAGTTGCAGTTTCACAGCGGCCAGCTCCAGTTCTTGTTTCTTTTCTTCAGCCTCCTTCTTATCTTTCTGCCACTTGGTTATCTGGTGGTTGCAATGGGCATCGAATCCTTCTTCAGATTTGTTGTATAGCGCCATGATATTCTGTAGGGCGTCTTGGACTGCTTTCGGCATGCCTTTCACCAGCGCAGATCGGAACATGACTTCCATCTGTTCTCCGGTTACGTCATGGTATAGATTGGTGGCCCGCTGCTTGTAGCTGTAATAATCGTCGTTATCTCGCATCTGCATGGACAACAGCTCGTCAGTGACAATACATGGAAATCTTGTCCTGAGTTCTCCCTCCAGGGCATCACGGAAGATATGAATGGGGTAGTTATTCTGTAGCTGCATTCTTGTTCTTTCTTCAATGGCTCTCTTGATGTTTCTGGCAACTGTTTCATCAGCAGCTTTGATCAGGGCAGCTTGTATGTCTCCCCAACACAGTTTGTCTCCAGCTGTTTGTTTCAGGAGGGCTCTCATCCATGGTACACCTCCTCTGGTCAGTTTCGGCAGTGTGAGCATCAGGTCACTCCAGTCCTTGAGTGAAAATGGCATGTAAACAGTCTGTCGACCATCCATTCTTATTGTGCAGACCTTTGCAGATTCTTCTCCCTTCTGTAATGTCAGGTCAACCGTGTCACTGATATATGGTTGTCTTGATTTTAGGGGGTCGACAGTTCCGCTGATGTATGCTTCTTCATAGTCAGTGTCAGAGACCGTTCCAGTGAATGTTCCATTAACAGAGTAGGGTTCGTCACTCTGTCTCCTCGGGACTTCTGCAGTGGCACCCCTTGGTCCATCCTTCTTTGTCCTTGGAAACGAACTTCCACTTTTCTTCATCCTTGTGTCTCCGTCCAGGTCAACTGATGTCTTTTCATCGTCTTGATCTGTCATGTATTGTCTTCTCACGTGTCTTTCGTTTTGACTCTCTTCCTCCACTCGTCTCAGCATCTTCTCTGTTTCTATTATGTGAGTCAATGCAGACACTTGGTTTTGGACAGATTTGACTTTTTCTTCTAGTTCTCTTGTAGGGCCTTCGACAGATGTTAGCGCCAACTCTCCTCCAATCACTTTATGAGTTATTTTGGGAGGCCGCCATGTCACTGGATCGGATGGCATCATAGAAGTGGAGGGTGTTCTGAGTTTTGGGCTTTTGTTAGTGGCACTTTGATATGGTGGGGGGGCCGTCTTCTTCATCATCTGGGGATGGCATCCTTCATTTTCAGATTATATTTTTGTTGCATATCGTAATGTCTCCTCACATCTTGAATGGTATACAGATTTGCTTGGGCTCTTTTGGGTCAGCTTCTTCTTCCAGCACCTTGCTGTTCCAGAAGCCTTCAACTGGTTCAATGTAACAAACTGAGACATTGTGATACCTTGGGACCTCTGTGTTATCAATTATAGTGTTATCTTTTTCAGCTGCTGTTGTTATCAATTGGTTATTGTTTTAATTCTTTGGATTGAGTCTTATTATTTTAGATGGTGAATCACTATTTTGGTTTTGCTCGAAATTTGTTCCGTGTTAAACTGGTCGATAATTGTTTTGGAATGACTTGTTTCCTTGAGATTCCACTTCTTAGTTTTTGTTTTATGAGTTATTTTATTTCGCAGACGACCTGTGGGCACTAAGGCTATTTTGATCTCGCTGGGCGGCTTCCACGTCCTTAGTTGGATTTCTTAAGAGAAGAAGAAATGTATCTTAGATAATTTTGAAGTATTATTTTAGGAGCCAGCATTATCTTTTTATAGTTTTGTTTGAGATTCTTTAATTACAAATTATTTTAACAATTTTTGATTGTTTTTGAAATAACAGTGTTATTTCGCAATCATTAATCAATTTTCTGTCTAACCATTTTATTTCAATGCAAGAGTATTAACCTCAAGTATAATTTGGGACTAAGTCATGGGTCAACTTAAACATTTTAATTTCCCTTTTTATTTTAGTTTTCCTAATAATTATTTTAGTGATAACCCTGTTTTAGATACTAGATTTGGGACAAGCCAGAAACAGAATATGAACTTCAGAAAGAAAAAAAAAACTTTTAACTATTATTGCAATTTTTTGTCAAGATACTCGGCATAAATTGATAATACACGTTGAACTATTTAAAGTGGACTTATAAGAGAATGCATAATTGTACGGATAATACTGAGATCAAAAATTAAAATGTGAGCGAAATTCAGGCTTGGAGAGGCAGAGTGGATCAAACCAGAACTAAACTAAGACTACTTCTGAAACAGAACTAGGCCAGGATCTAATTAGGACTAAAGCTGAACTAAAATAGAACTACCCCTGGACTAAAATTAAACTAAGGCTAAACCAAATTAAACCACACCTGGACATGAACAGTGCTAAACTCAAACTAAATTTAGACTTAGAATGGAATAGAACCAAAACTAGACCAGAATAGGACCAAGTCCGGACCAAAGCTGGACCAAGTCAGGTGCAGACCAGGT